CACAGAAGATGATTAGAAAATTGAATTTCTTGCTGTTATTAAACGTCTTTTGCCTTTGATCTCGCTCTCCTTCTTGAGGCGTCACCTGGCCCTTTCTTTATCCCTCTCATTCATCCTCTATTATTATATTAGCCCATACTCATCCACATTTTGCACCTCCTAAGTGATAGGCCACATAAATCAATTTTTTATATATATATACACACACAATAACAGTTATATGCAGCTTCCAGACCGCTTGCTGATAGCTGCCATTTCTTATCACCGCAGCTGAATATAGCAGCGTTATGAAGGCACTTTTGCTTGCTGTCTAAAGGGAGGCGACTGAGGGGAGAGAGGTGATGCATTTTTGTTCAAATTACTTAAGCTGCCTACAAAGCTTTCTGTAAAGTTGCAGGGTTATGAAAATTTACTATGAAGAGAAGGGACTCTTAGACAGAGGGGAAAACACAGTCTTTATGACACCTATCATGTGCATTCCTGTGGATTTTAATCATTGTTATGTAAAGATGCTGTCATTCCTGGCTTTGTGTGCTTTATTTATTTATTTTTTTACAGTAAACTCACGCTGCTCGATAAAATCAAGGAGCACACAGAGAAATTCACTCTGCTTCCTTACAACTCTGGCAGAGGTAATAGCAGCAAACGATGTCCAAAATGTGCGCATTCCTCTTGCACTCTGTCACGGGGAACATGCCGGTCCCACGGTTTCTTTTACCAAAAATATTTCTTGGAGGGCGTAATCCTGCCATCTGTGCTATTAATATGAAACTTATTATAAACAAGCTAATCAGGCTTGTTTGTTTTTCCTTTTGTTGAGCTTTAACATTCGCGCGGAAACGGGGCTCAGGTTGAAGCTGAGACGAGCTCTCGTTACAGTAAAAGCACACAGGTGTTACAAAGGCACGGAGAGCTCATCAGCACACAGCGTGATGCTGTGAGACCGTTTGATAGACAACAGCACAGCAGGAGAAAGAAGAGCGGAAGTGGGATTCAGAACTAAAGAGCCAAGAGACACTTTCTCTGTCTTGCTCTCAACTGCTCCC